TTGACTGTTTCTAAAAAATCAAATATGATTTAATAATAATACAATGCATCATACAATGAATTGCATTATATTAGTGTATATAATAGGTCATCAAATCAGTGTCAGTTAACTCTGCCAACTAGGTTGCCTGTAGGGATTTTTAATGTCCAGCAGGTGTCAGTATTCAATGACACAGTATCGACACAGTATCAATACAGTTTGGTAATGTGTCGAAACGTTTCATGACGCCTCATCAACCCATCACTACTGATTGAGTTTCCGGTTATCTTCTGAGAGCGGGCAGGCAGATCTTTGACAGAAACTGTTCTCCAGAAAATTTCTGAGAACGAACAGGCAGATTACCAGCAGAGAAACTGTCCAGAGTTTCAGGTTTCAGGCAGGTTCAATCGTTACTGGCAAACACTCTGGCACTGGAGTGAAGCCCTCCGCCTCCTTAAGTACGGATCTCCTGATGAGCAGATGAGGAACAGGTGGTGCAATCAGCCCCGGCTCCAGGAAATCTTGTACGCCCTCTGGTGGAGAAAGTGGACAGACCTCCAGATCCCAACATTTACAACAGCAAAAAGATTATAGAAAACCTTAGAAGAGTGTATAACAATAAAATAATAGTGAAGAGTTGAAAGCTATGGACATTTTTTACAGTAATGGATACTTGAAAATAGCAGCAACATCAGAGATATGCAAAATTACAGCAGCATGTTATTTAACTGAGTAAGATAGAAACTGTGCAAAATCAGCATGAATGTAACAACTTATTAAGGTTGTTTGGAACAGTGGTGGTTATAGAACCTTCCAGCTGCTGGGAAGAAGGATCTGTGATAAAGCTCCCTGGTGCATGTAGGGTGCAGCATTCTATCACTGAAGGAGCTCTCCAGTTCTGCCATAGCTTCATGCATGAGGTGGGAGACATGATATGATATGTTAATTAAATTCAGACCCTGGCTAACTTTTTCAGATATTGAAATAATAAAAGAAATGTGATTTATTCTAGAATAGGCATTGAAGGAGCTCTCCAGTTCAGCAACATCTTCATGCATGGGATGGGAGACATTATCCAACAGAGATGTTAATTCAGTCAGGATCCTTTTGTTTCCCACCTCCTGCAAAGAGTCCAGAGCGCATTCAATAACAGAGCTGGCCTTCTTGATCAGCTTATCCAGTATCATTGGTGCATTTATGATTCAGTAGTCTGACACTAAAGGAGCTCTCTGGTTGTGCAACAGCTTCAGGTATGGAATGGGAAACATAATCTGTTTTAATGCAAGGTCCTTCATCTCACACTCCCTGCACTGGGAAAAGAGCACCATGACACAGCTGGCCTTTATGAAAGATATCTGTATCAGTTAACACATGAAAATCATTTCACAGATAGATTCATTTGCACTAAAATGGTGATCAAGCAGGTTTTTCAAATATTTTTAAACGTGGCTTATGTACAAAGGGTTGGACTTTTTTGACATGTAGGACAATGGAAATTATTTAAACAAATCTAAAAATATAAATTATTCCATGTACTGGTGAAAGCTGCTCAGTGGGGCAGTGGGTAGCACTGCTGCTTTTTAGCAAGAAGTTCAATTCCCAGTCCGGGGAATCGAACCCGGAACCAGCATGTGCAGCTCGCATGGGTTCTCTCCGGGTTCTCCAGCTTCATCCCACAGTCCAAGAACATGACTGTTAGGTTAATTGGCTTCTCTAAATTCTCCTTAGGTGGGAGTGGGTGTGTGAATGGTTGTTTCTCTCTGTGTTGCCCTGCGATGGACTGGCGACCCGTCCAGGGTGTACCCTGCCGCTTGCCCGTAGACAGCTGGAGATAGGCATCAGCAACCCTCACGACCCCGTTTGGGATAAGTGTGATGGAAAATGGATGGATTACTGGCGAAATTGTATTTAATCAACACAGTTGATTTTATTTCTATTTTTATCATATTATTGTATTTTTGTAACTATCTCATTATTTTCTATTGCAGTCTATAATAAATAATAGAGATCTAATTGTTTTTGTTTACTCAGCCTGGCAGGGGAATGTTTTTCCTTTTTATGTCACATTATTAGATGAGAGTTGAAAATAGCTGCTCTTTCCCTTCCATTTCTAGGCCTCTCCTGGCTGCCACCTGATTGGCTGGACACCTTGTCAGTCACGGTGTCCTTCCCGCCCACTTCCGCCAGGCTCCAGAGGTGCTACACTTTCCGTTTGTTTATGTTAGCCGAGGCCAAACTGACTCTAATTGAAAGGTATGTGTAACGTGTCAGTGTGTAACTTTTACTGTCGGGGTGTAATTATGTGTCAGCCTGTTAGTGTACTTCTGTCATTAGCTAATAGCAGTTTCGCCTCGCGGTTAAACCGTTTCCATCTGCGATGCTAATAGCTAGTTAGCCGCTAGCTGCGCGCCTGACAGCGAACTAGAAACATGTTTCTGTCACAGCGCTGTTTGGCTTCACTATGTGGTTCTCAAAGGCTGTCTGTGTCACAGGTCGTGCTTGTTGCTGCCTGATATGCTTCAGAGAGAAGCAGAGCTGCAGAAACCAACCGACGCTGGAAACATGACTGCTGAGTAACAGTTTGTTCACTTTTTTTTCTGCTCAGTATGAACAGCGAGGAGGAATTTTTCGACGCTGAGACAGGTGAGATGATCAGATCGAGTCTTTGCATCCATGGTTTGCTTTATCGTTTCATTGAATGGATTAAATCTGTCGCAGGATTGGAGTCTGATGATTCCTGTGAGGTCAGTTTCAAAGATGCGCTGCTGTTTGACAGCAAGCAGGGGACTGATGGCAGAAGCGCACAAGAAAATGGACTGTGGGAGCGCAGGTAAGAAAATATATGTTTATATAAATATCATATTTTGTATTTTATTATTAGATTTAAATGATTCGTTGTCTGGCTAAACATGTTCATTTTTTTTATAAACTTTATGCACACATTTGAATGTTTCCTTTTGCCTTGTATTTCCTTCCATTAGATTATACAGAAAACTATATTTTTTTAATGATTTTTAAACTCTAATCAGTTTCCATAACAAATGTTAGTTCCTATAAGTCTCAGAAAGAGTCATTTGATGATAATACTATTAATAATAATAATATAATAATAATAATTGATCTCACATTGGAGGATTTTGCCTCTGCATTTATCCCATCCCCTTGGAGAGCAGTGGGCTGCCATTGTGCGGCGCCCGGGGAGCAGTATGGGGTTAAGGGCCTTGCTCAGAGACCTAGGTGTAGGTACCAGATCTGCTCGGCGTCCTGCCCCTTCTTATGACCTCAACTCATCTCGGACAAATTATATTGCACCCGTTTCTTAAGGATCAAATCTCTTTTGGAATTTTAACGTATTATTACCTATATTTGCTATTATTTTACATTTCATTGGCGATCTAAAGTAGCCGAAACTATAAAACAATAATTGTCAGTCTTGAAGGGAAGAACTGCCTTCTAAGACAGACAAAAAAGTCTCAGCTTTTTTATTCTTTTTGTGGAAATCTGAGGGCACAGGACAAATGGGACATCGTAAAAAAGGACTTTCATAGAGATTTTAGACAAAGAGAACAACAGTTATTTGGTTACGTGTAGAAAACGAACGGTTGTTGTTGATATGAAATTAAAAGTACTGTAGCTTAATATGGCTAACTGACCAAACTAAAAGAGTCTAACCTGTTAGCTACTGACCACAGCTAGCTACAGTGCTACCCAGCTCTCCCCCTTTATACCATGGCCTTACAGTTACTTTGTTCACCATAAACAGATTTTTTCAGTATTGTCATCGATAGGGTAAAACTTCATCGGTCATTAGACACGCTAATGCTAAAG